TGAAAGTCTTGGGCTTGAATGTATAAACATATCTTACTTTTGAATTAAAATGTAAGAGGGAAAGGCAGTTGAATCAACATAATCATAGAAGAAATTCACTTTTTAACCAAACCCATTCAGCTTTTTTCTTGTATTATTTGAGTGTTTTGTTATGTATTTTTCTTCTATTTTAACGTTCTTTACAAAATGCTGTATTTTTATATGTAATCTTGCATTTATCTTAATGACAAAGGCGTTTCAGTAAAAAAACTTGCAAGAAAGGTTGCCAAAGAAAAAACGTAAAAATAGCTTCCTCTGATGCATACAAGACGTTTAAAAGATAAATTTAAACTAAATTTAAACCAATTGCGGTGGAAGATCATATTGTGGTAGCAACAAAAGAAACCTTACCAACTGTTTCCAGATTCCTTTGAGACATTTCACGGTTGACAGTTTCATAATACATCATTCGATCACGTAGACGAGATATTTCATGATTCTTTGTGACAATAATTTCCATGAAAGCTTCTTCAATTTCATCCTTTGCCAAGGCTGTTTCAAGTGCTTCAGATACATATTTTAAAACAACAACGTCTTCGCAAATCACCACAGGATCAATCTCATTTTTGAGATTTGCAAGGTTCTGTGATTCAGGCAAAGACGATCTCGAGTAAGAGAGACATTTGGATAGCTTCTCATACTGTTTGCTCAAATAAAGAAGATGTTCTTCTGCAAGTTTTCTCTTACTAGACTCCTCGATTAGACTGAGTTTTAATAAACAAAGCTCATTTTCAGTACTTCTCTTTAAAGAAGGGGATGAATTCGAAAAAGAACCGTCGGAGAAGAATTCTGCACAAATACACTGGATTATTCTCTTAAAGTCACCAGTTAAATATAGTAAAAAGCAAAAATGTAAACTGACTGGAAAGGTTTCCTTGCATTAATGACAATTAAAAAGCAAAGCAAACCCAATGATAGATATTTTTAATCCTTTACAAATGCCTACAGTAATAAATAGGAAAATGCTTTTGTTGTTAGATTCTAAAATCTGAATTCAAGTTCAAGCGTAATCATAATTCTGACAATCATAATTATGACATTAATCCTTCTTGTCAAATAAAACCAGCTTTTTTTTCTAAAGAACATTTAATAGCATCACATGAGGTCGTGCATTTGCGCAGCATTTAACAGAACACAAATAAAGATAATGTTTAATTTGTAGGCTG